GAATGGGAGCTGAAACAAAGCGGCTCTTTAGTTTAGTGAATGCAACCTGTGCTGCACTCGACCACCTGAAGGGCGTCTTGGCGGAGGTTAAGGACGTCAGAGGGGCGGCGAGCTGGCTGAAATTGCGAATAAAACGCCGGTAAAAATTAGCGAAGCCCAGAAATCTCTGCAGGGCCTTACGAGACTCGGGGATTGGCCAATTCACCACAGCCTAAACTTTCTCTGGGTCCATGCGCACCCCCTCGACTGACACAATGTGTCCAAGAAAGGGAACAGACTGTGCATGGAACACGCATTTCTATGCCTTGACAAAAAGCCCATTCTCTAGCAGCCGCTGAAGCACTCGCCTGACGTGCTGCACATGTTCCTGGAGAGAACGAGAAAAAATCTGAATGTCATCCAGGTAGACATAAATAAACTGATCTATCATGTCTCGCAACACGTCATTTACGAGTGCTTGGAAAACCGCAGGAGCATATGAAAGCCCAAAAGGAAGAACACAATATTCAAAATGCCCCCTGGGGGTCAAAAACGCGGTTTTCCACTCATGGCCCTGCTTCATGCGAACCAAATGATATGCGTTGCGGAGATCTAATTTCGTGAAAAACGAAGCCCCTTGCAGACGCTCGAACGCTGAAGACATCAGCGGCAAAGGATACGTATTCTTCACCGTGATGCTGTTCAGCCCTCGATAGTCTATGCAAGGTCTAAGAGACCCATCCTTCTTTTTCACGAAAAAGAACCCCGCCCCCGCCGGTGAAGAAGAGGGCCGTATGATCTTGGCCGCTAGAAAATCAGAAATATATTTCTCCATGGCCTCCCTCTCAGGAATAGAAAGAGAGTATAACTTGCCTTTAGGCGGAGAGGTACCTGGCAATAGGTCTATTGCACAGTCATAGGGACGATGAGGAGGCAGAGAAGCAGCTCGAGACTTACTGAACACTCTCTTCAGGTCAAGGTACTCACTGGGCACGTTTGACAGGTCCATGCGCTCCTCCTGAAACACAGAACAAGAAACAGCAGAACGAGCAGACGAAAGACAAGACTCATGACATTTCTCACTCCACGAAAATATGGAATTAAGACCCCAGTTAATGTGAGGTTTATGAAGAATTAACCATGGATGTCCTAAAACCACCGGTGAGTTGGAAAAATGAACAAATGAAATGTGTTCAACATGATTTCCAGACGTGATAAGTTTTATGGGTTTGGTGGAGTGAGTGATAGTGGGAAGGGAAAGCCCACTGAGGGCGCGTACTGCAATGGGTTGTGGCAGAGCTATAACCGGAAGCTTAGAACTGAAAGCGAAACTGGAGTCAATGAAATTTCCCTCCGCCCCGGAATCGACGAGGGCATGGGTGTCATGACTTCCGGAACCCCATGATACAGTGACGGGCAGTAAAGTGACAGTCGTAGAGGATTTGTCCAAATTAATTTCACCCATCAGTAACCTCTTACCTACTGATGGGTGTTGTCTTTTACGGTACCGGAAGCCACCCGATGACCCGCCCCTCCGCAGTAGAGGCAGAGTCACTCCGTTCTCCGTCGGCGCTTTTCTTGCACGGACAAGCGGGATCTCCCCAGCTGCATGGGTTCCGGGTCAGCGCTTACCACTTCCGGTGTCGCAGCCAATGCCGGAAAGTCAGGGACGGAATCCGAATACCTGCTCTGCTGCAGGCGAGTCTCACGCCGAAGCAGTCTGGTGTCCACATGGATGGCCAAATCCACCAACTCGTCCAGAGTCTTTGGAAGATCTAAGGAATAGATCGCATCTTGCAGACGATCAGACAATCCGTGCAGAAACATGTCCCATTGTGCCTCCGCGTTCCAGCCGCATTCAGCGGCTAGGGTTCGGAACTCAATCGAGTACTCCGCCACGCTCCGATTCCCCTGGCGGAGTTCAGCGAGGACTCGGGCGGCCTCTCTCCCGGAAGCGGCTCGATCAAAGACCTTCTTAAGTTCTTTGGAGAACAGGTTAAACGTAGAGCAGCATGGTAGCTTTTGTTCCCAAGCTGTTGTTCCCCACTGAGCCGCCTTGCCCGAAAGGAGGGTGATGACGAACGCCACCTTAGATTGCTCGGAGGAAAATAATGACGGCTGCAGCGAGATGTAAAGGGAACACTTAGACAAGAAGAATCGGCACAAGAGAGGCTCTCCAGAGTAGCTGGTCGGAGGTGGAAGACGCGGCTCAACAGAGCGAGCAAGGACCGCAGGCACTGGTGACACTTCCGGGGTCGGTGCAGTCTCGGAGGCTGGTGCCGTATCAGCCTGTGCAGCACGGGTAACCAGTTGTTGGACCTGGGATGTGAGCAATGATATTTGGCCAACCAGGGCCTGGATCGCCTGAGCCGTGGTGGCCAGGGCCTCATCCTGTCGATCAATCTGAGCGTTGCTCTGAGAGACGAACTCGGAGATCTGGGAAACACTCGCTGGATCCATGAACAGGTCAGTTCGTTCTGTAACGTTTCGAATGAGAGTCAGAGAGGATCCAAATGCAAGTGACAATGTTTATTAGAATCTGACAATAAAACAAATAGTGCCAGGCTAGATGAACGCAGAACACAGGACAGGAACAGAACGGGGAAACCAGATCCAGACAAACTCCTCAGGGCCTGAGCACAGACAGCACAAACATAAGTGATAGTAACAAACTGACACAGACACACAAAAGCGTTGCACAGATATAGGCACCATTATGAGCCTCAGCTGGCGAACTAATCAGACCAACTGAGTGTAGTCATAACAAATCCACATGGACAACCAAAACAAAACAAACCCACGTGATCAAACATACACTCCGGAGAAGCACACAAACCTGCAACCGTGACAGATAGGTTTAATAGTGCAACGCTGTAAAAAATTTCTTGAAGCTGGATCATTTTTGTAGCGGTAGTGGTCTTAATGTGAAATGGGCTATTTATTGTAGGTTTGGAATAATCTGATTGGTTTGTGAATGATTGCATATGAAAGACCAGCCACAACTAATCATATCACATGCTCCCCTCGAAATTACTTTTATGAAACTTGGCTTAAAGTTTACATATACTTCAGTTATTGTATGACAATAACCTGTGAATTTATTGTTGTTGCAGCTCTGAGTCTGTGTTTCAGGTAGCTCACGTTCAGTCGAGTAAAAGTCAATTTCAAATTGAACCTAAGTTGACACAAAAGGTAGCAGTTTCACAACAGAAACATATCTGTTACATTTAATACATATTAACCAGAACTGGTTCGAAAATTATTGCAAGAATTTTATCTAAAGTGCTTATGAAAATAAATAGTGAACCTAATAGTATGCTGTTGTTATCAATTATACACACCAAACCAAGTGGTGATATGTGAAGTAAAACATGTAAGAAATGAGTAACTGTTGTCTTACCACCATAAAAGATTTTTTACTATAAAACAACAATATTAGTCATGCAAACCTTCATGCCCCAATGCAGCAGTTCTTGAAGGCAGATCTGCTAATAATGGAAGTAGAAGATTATCACCTGGAAAAGATAACAAAGCCACCTGTTCCTGCTCTGTACAAATAGAAAGGTACAAACTATGCATGCCAAGAGACTTGAGGAAAAACCTATTCCTGTTGGAGAGTGTGGCTGTCAGATCCACTGATCCACTGTGGCTTTCAGATCTCATTCCAGCTGATTCCAGCAATGAGTATCACTTGTTCCTCCTGAATCCCATCAAAGAGACCAGTGTCTGCCAGATCCATTGAGGAAGTAATCAAAAAGATGCTGTACCTGCCAAAAGGACTCCAACTTGGAGAATCTGCATTTGCAAGATCCCCTGATGTTGCCCCAAAGCATCCCTTAAAAAAGGATGTGAAAGAGCACCTGTGGTTGCAGTATCCACAAAAGAAGCAACTGGACTCAAAGCATACCGAGAAAAAGTTTCAAATGGATCCTGAAAGCAAACTCTTGAGAAACCTCTTTTGCTCATGGCCTTTTCAGAGGAGTTACCATTTGTCCACTGGTTTGTTGGGGGTTGGATTGTTGGAATTATCCATAATCAACTAGTCCCCACAGGGAGGATCTCTGCCTGCCAGGCCTAGATTGAGAGGAAAAATGGGTTTCTATAAAAATATTAGACTGCATTTAATGAGAAATGTCACAATGAGACTTCACCCCTTAAAGGATACGTCATCCAAATTTAAAAAAAAAAAATCCTTACCATTTACTCATATACAAGTGGTACTAAACATTTGAAAATTAATTTCTTCTGTTGAGCACAAAACAAGATATTCTAAAGAATATATTGGAATTATTCTTGGAATAATGAGATGGCTCCTGCTCCCAGCGTTCCCAGAGGTAGAATCTGAGGGAGTACCAGTGTTCAAAGTGACATGGATGAAGCTCATGAATGAGCAACTACAGGTACTGTAGGCCCACAGCATGGAAAGGAAAACACTTTGATTACCTATGCCATTAAAGCCATTATCAGTGGGAGTTCTAAGACTCGTAAATCAAATGTTTGATCCCTGTGACATATTTCAAACAAATACACTATAAAAACATTGTAAAAGTTAATTTGCAAATTGATGCACTGGGAAGAATAAAAACAAACTTCAGAAATAGAACAACATGAAATTACTTTCTTGTGCCCTCTAGTGACCAGTCTTCATAATGGAACTTAGTTAAACCTTCTGGAAAAGAAAACTATGAGACATTAATGTAGACCATTTAAAGGACATTGTGAAAAGCAGTAAGCCAACTAATGAATGAAGCAGCTAACAATGTATTTGTTTACTTTAAAACAACTATGCAAATTAGCTAAATCAGTCTAATACATTTTTATATGAATACAATACAGCATGATAGAGCAGCTTGTGGTGGTAAAAAATGTGTAACTTATATACATATATATATAAACCACACAGTTTCACACAAAACATTAATAACCTTTTTTTTTCATTTTGGTTTTGAGTAAAACAATGGAATTCTAAGAAACCAGAGAAAACATATACTCTTCTGAATTAAACATAAATGAGTGTTTTAAAACAGATTAAGAATTAACAACAACTGACATGTTATACATTTGGTTGAAATCAAGGCAGCTAGCATTTATTAGCTTATTAAAGAACATAACACTTACAATAAGCAATTATAAACGCTTTATAATTTACTATACATATATGACCACACAAACTAATACCACAAGACAAAAATGTTAGATTTTATACCAGACACTGACAATTTTCAAATAATTATTATACAGTTGAAAGGAATTATTTTGGAAAGCAAATAATCTATTCATAAATGTCTACATTTCAGATCTTCTTGTCTTTTCTATTCATAACAATTCCAGAATGCACAATAAAACTGTTATGTTCTCAGCCATGGACATTATTAGAGAACTCTTCATCTGATAGATAGAAAGAGAGAAGGCAATCTGGCATAGAGGCATCTCATCTTAATTTGGTTATACACATTCATGAGTTAATATTAAAACTTCACCAGTGCCTAACTCATTATACTTTATTTCTTGACATTTAAAATATATAAAACTACAGAATACATCAAAACTTTCAGTTAAATAAATGTATATCTGCATGCCATAATTACTTGTTGGCATTTATTTATTGTATTATGTGCGAGTTTTAATGTTAATAAGATCTTTTATTGTATGCTAAGCTATTAATAGTAGTGCTGGTTAAATTTAATTTATATGGAAGGGATATGATTTATAAATATAGCTAAATAAATTACATTAATAATAAATGCTGCATTTACAGAACATAGAATAGCACCAAAATACCCTTGTAGAGTACCCTTGTTTTTCAGGATCTGATCATCTTCACCCTCCTAAATGTATTTCAAATTATTTTAAATTTCTTTTTGTTTTACACTTTTTTGTTTCTTATATGTTTCAATGTTTCTTTAATGCAACTAAGCCTAACTTTATTTAGAGTACTCTACAAAAGATCACATGAAGTTACATTTCATAATGATTAATTTTTTTTTGTATTCCAACATTATTAGGGGAAAAAACAAAAGGCTGTACTGTTGACTAAAATTCAGTGAATATTTTCTAGAAAAACTTTTTTTTTTTCAAACAAAATAACTTAACATGGTGATTGAAGTGTATATGGAATGTTAATGAAATATTTATGTTTACTGTCATTTGTTTTTTAAAATGTCAAAAATGAGTCTTCATTTTTTAGCATAAAACTTAATTTTATCATAAATTTAATTCAAATCATTCTTTTGCATAATATACAGTACAAATAATAAAAAGTAAAAAAATCTCACCTCAGAACATGTTTTTGGCAGAAAAAATACAGTGTTACTTCAAATGCAATGTGCACATTTGACGTCAAGAACAGTGGGGCGTTTACTTCACTCAGAAGGTTTTAGTTTGACCTTGAAAGCTTTCAAGTAATCCCAGTCTTGTATATATTATTCATCTACTGTATTAAATATTAAAGAGGTTGGGGTTAAAAGGCTTTGAATCTCTACAAAAGTATACATTAAGTGCTTACGGTTCAGGTGTGAAACAGAAGATGTGTGAAACAATAGAATGAAACAGATACCCAGAACTGAACCACATTGGTAACAACAGAAGCACATTATAATACAAAAACACTGTTGCTTTAAAAGCAGTTGCTGCTCTACCGCTAATATTCCATTTCTATTTGCATCACAAAACAGTCTCAAACATTTACCAATGCAGGTATACATTCAGTAGTGTGTTGGCATAAACAGTCCAAAGCAGTCCTGAGCTGTCTAGAAGAATCCAGGACAACAGTACAGAAAAGCTGTTATCATTAACTTTTGAGAGTGGAATTCCAGGTCAACATCTAGACTGCATTGTCAAAAATCTTAAGAGACTGCATGATATGTTCATCCTGCAAAAAAATAATAATAATAAAGAAGCAGTGGTATTGTTATACATATTTGCTTTATACGATACATGTTTTTAAAAAAGATTAAATGAGACTTACCTTTTCACAGCTGTCAATGAATTCATCAATAGTTACTACACCATCCTGGTTTATGTCCATGTTCTTAGAGAATAAAAACATATGTGAGAAATAATGCTGTTTATTTACAGTTGTGAATTGCATTATGGGACCTTGATTTCTTCTCTGTCGACATTTGATGTTGAAAATTCAACTCTACTGTTTCACAAATTGACTTTTATTGATATTTTAGTATTTTGAAATAATATAATGTATAAGAAAGAATGTATAGGGAAATAAATGTGTAGAATAACAGAAAATGTAATGGAGGTTTATTTCAAGATTGTTGTACCATAATATATAACACGAACCCAGACGATATATCACTTTAAACTATTAAAAATCTAAAAAAAATAAAAAATAAAAAAAGTCAATGTTTTCAAGATTAAAAGTTGTTTTAAGTCACATTATGCAATTTAAAAGCATAAATAAATGACAAATAAAAAGATGAATCACAAAATACAAAAAAATGCTAACTTATGGACATTTCTTAAAGTTGCAGCTTTTAATTCATCCTGACTATTTTTCAAATTAAAATTCTGCCATCATTTGTCTCCGCCCACTTTTGTCCAATCTGTTTTTGCGCCACCCTGTGGATATTTTAACTCTATATTTTTAAATCTGCAGTTATCATAACTGTCATAATGTTTTATTATAGTAAGCTTTATACAAGCCCATAGCCAGCCTGGTAAAAGGGGTGGTTCATTCTTCTCAAGAAAGTGGATATTTTTTCAGTTATTCGCCTCATTTGCTATTTAATTCTGAAATTTAAATACTGCATTTTTGTGACATTTTAAGCACTACTTTTAGCTAGATTAGCTTGTTAGATGGTCATCATAACACTTTAAATGTACCAAAAATATTTCCTAAAGATTTAGAATAAAGAAATATGAATTAAGTACCTATTTTTAAAATAAAAATTTATTACAATTGATATCACTAGAAAAAACATAGTAATCTGTCAGGTTTTTTTATTAAAAACTGTAGCATATTGTCATTTATTTGGCAAATAACAAACTGGCCAGCACATTCAACATTCCTCAGTCAGAATTGAGCTCTTTGAATAATAAAAAATGTAAACATAATAATATTATTATTAGTAATAATTCATTCAATCATTTACTTTTCGGCTTAGTCCCTTTATTAATCTGGGGTCGGATGTATGTTTATTTTTTCTTGCACAATGGTTGTTGGACTCATGAATAACTATTGTTTGCATAGGCCAAAACTGATTAGCAGAAGTCACACCAAAACGACAGCTAACAGAAAATTCCGTTTGGTCTTAATAACTTTTTCGATGGGTTATTTTCACTATTTTTGATGGCATCGCAGTCAGAATAGGACAAGTGAGTATATATAAGACAAATTCTGAACCTTTGTCAGTGCGGGTGGGTCTTCCGGTTCCGAACCACCCGAACCCCCCCTGGCTACGGGCCTGTTACGGTAAATATATTTTAAAGAAATGTACAGTCACATATTTCAATAATAATGATAATAATGTATAATGGAATTACTTGGAAGAACATTCTGACATGTTGCCTCACTGCCTCCTCCTTAAGCCGTGGATGTATAGATTTCCCCATCAAATCATAAATAGACTTCATTATATCCAGCATTTCCTGAAACACAAGATCAAATACACAGAAAAATGTCACAATCGAAACCTCAGAATGTGTTTAGACTTTGGCAGAACTAAAAATGCAAAGACACAAATTCAGTAAAAGACAAAATCTGAAAATGACAGTAGTTTCCAGACCTCTTTAGTTATCTGCCCATCTTTGTTGATATCATATAGATTGAAAGCCCAGTTCAACTTTTCTTCGGTAGTGCCTCTCAGCAAAACAGAGAGATCACAGACTAACTCCTGAAAAAAGGAATTGACATAATAAAGTCCCATGCATAATGATACTACACTGTCAACGATTTGTGCAAATTACACAGTATTTAACTGTAATATGAACTGTTTTTTACTGTAGGACAGTTATGCAGTATGTTACTGTATTTTTAAAGTTGTAAAAATAATGTATATTTTACATTAAAGGCATAATTCTGTAAATACATATACAGCAAGATTAATGGTGCTATGAATGTAAATACAGTTTTTTTGTTTGTTTTTTTTTTTTTTTTTTTTTTTGCTGTAATTGATTTACAGTAAGTAACTGGTGAACTGCTGCCAGTAAGTTACTGTAAATTCCACAAGAAATTGTTTACAGTGGATATCCTACAAAAGCCATTCAAAACACTGTATAACTTTTCACATGCATATTTTACACATTAATGGGTAGTTGACAAATAGGCAGTAAAAAGATTTTGTAAAAAACCCCTTTTGAAGAAAAATTTGATATATTGATGTAGTTCGAAGTCAGATATTTGAGGAAATATATACATAAATATTTTTTTTTTTACAATTTTACTGAACAGGGGTCTCACTTATAAAACTTGCAAACAAACCAAAGCTTTCTAAAATTAAATGTAAAGCAGAATAAATACATATTTATTAATCAACGATTATGGCTTGTATGATGATTTAAATTGGTACAATTAAAGTTTACTTATTACAGCACAACATGGAAAATGTGTACGATTCTAACCCCGTTTTGTGTTTGCACCATTTTTTTAATGAGACTCCTGTATCTTAAATATGTCAAATGGTGTTACATAGCAAAAATGAGGAAAAACAACTCTTAATAATGTACAAATAACATAAGTGTAATTCATCTTCATTGTTTGACACTTTATATGGTGCAAATGGTGCTAATTATGACATAATACACATGAAAATTTTACAGTGGTTCCAAAAAAAGGTCAATAAAAGAAAAATTCTGAGACAAAAATTTAACAGGTAAATATCATGGGCTTCACGGGGGCTTCAGTCACATGATTTTCAATGGGGTCTTTCAATAATTAAAGTTCTGTGGAACTGGCCAATTTAAAAAATAAGCATATAGTGTCACACTAAAGGACATGGTTTACAGTAACAAATTATATCTAGTTCCTACGTTTTTAGAAATGATTGCCATTTACTAAAATAGCCATTTTTAAATGTAGGCCTGGGATATTTATTAATAATTTTATGAATTTCCTTTTAATTTATAAGAGTTGTAATTTATTAGACAATTGTTAAAACAGTCACACCATATGACAGATTTAAAATGTGGGCACACTTTTTTTGAAATGTCACGTCAACAACACAAATATATGTTTTTATTATCCAAAAACAAACTAGTTAATTAAAAGTCTTTACCTCAAAACTAAGAGAGCCATTCTTATCTTTATCAAATGCATTGAAGAGAAACTGAGCATACTTTGATGAATCTGAAGAGAAAACAGGTAATGTACTGATTATACATATGACTTCATAACAATACATATACTGTATATTACATATAATAAACACACACATATTATAATTATTATACTTATATTACATAATATAAACACACACATATACACATAAATTAATGAAGAAAAAAAGTTGATATTTTAGTTATTATTATTATTATTGTTTTATGCTTCTGTGGCGTTCAATCTAGGAAGTATTAAAAATGAATACTTTTTCTGTATAAAAAAATCTTGGATCAGAGCACTTGGAGGAGACACTGACTGCAATAAGGGTAATCTGTCTTTTAAACTGTCATTGCAATACGTAATTATGTGACTTTTTCAAGTATTGTTAAATACAATGATTTATTATAAAACCTATAGTAAAGTATACTGTAGCGGAACAAAATGTTTTTAAATGATTTTATCCCAACTATTTAAATTAATTTGTTTTCAATTTCAGCTTTTAAATTCAATCATTAAGTTGTTCAGCATAAATGTATGGATTACAACATAAAAGATAATCCTTTGATTTGGCCACAGTTGAAGAAAAAAATTAGCATTTTTCTCCAACTCTTGTGTGTTGGCACATTAATTTTACATTTATATGAATAAGTTCTTTTCATTGCCTTTCAAGTGTAATAACTGAAAATAAACATAGGAGGTTGAGAAAAATTCTCATTTTAGGAGAACATTTTGGATGGCATTAAGAAGTTTTTGCATCTGAACTTTTCAATTACCTTCCATTGTACATAGTAGAGAAAAAGGGCAAACAACGGTTTAGTTATGCACTTTCTTCAAAATCATTTATTGTGTTTAGCAGATTAAATATATTAATACAGGTTTGGAAGGCGATTTAATGATGATATACATTAAATTAACCTTTAGTTTCAATAAGTATTGGTTAAGGTGGTTAATTCCATTATGGTGACCTCTGAAATAAAGACTAAGTCGAAGAAAATAAATAAATGAACTGTATTGGTTAAACATATCTGATAGAACAAAATTTTACCTCCTAGTGGGAAGAACAGAGCATATATGTTTTTAAAAGTGTCCTCATTCACAACTCCACTTGGACAATCCTAGAAAAACAGGCCCAGACAAGAAGGTGATATTTATGAGGCTGGAAAATCTCCAAAGAGGGCAGAATGACAACATCATTTTTAATTTCAACACCCGGCAGGTGGGGTTTAAATGAACTCTCACATTCTTGAATCCTCTATAGAGTAACTGCAGCTCTTGTCTGGAGAAATGGGTCTGCGATTGCAGTTGCTCCAGATTTTCTGGGTGATACCGTTCCGTTGTGCTCTCTTGTTCTTCGTCCTCATTATCTACAACATAGCACACATAGCTGCAAGCATTTATATTGGAAATACAGCTTCTGAAATAAAGAACCACTTTTTTTGGTTTTGTTATTATCTTACATGTGTTTAGACGCATCCTTGCTTGCTTTTGAACTGTAAAATGATGCCTAGCTTTATCTTTAATTAAGATTCCTGCTACTAGCAGGTCCAGTGACGCTAATTACACCAACACTGTCTTTTTAATGAATAATTAGAGTGACGTGTATTGAAGCCTTTGTCAAGGCTATGTTTCCTTTTATACACCATTACCTGTGATTTGAGAAACTTCATTAGGCACAAACAGGTTTTGTGTCAGAGATCATTACTCCAGTAGTCGATCATAACAAATTGCATTTAAATGTTAGCATGAGGCAGTATGGTGGTGCATCTGTCCAGTTTATATGCTTTAGCAGCAATGTAAAGACCTATATATATATATATATATATATATATTTTTTTTTTTTTTTTTTTTGGTAGAACTCATTTGGGTATCATTTAAAGGTGTTCATAAAAGGTGTAAATTATTAAGTATAGGTTAATATTCATAGCATAAACAGCGCAGAGGGTCTGCCCTGCTTCCATGAATTTTATTAAATATGCACCACTGTGTGCCTTAGCAGGTCAGGTAACTAAAGACACAGAGCGGTGTCTCCTTCAGGACACGTACAATACCTCTGTCCCAGTTTTCCATGAAGAACGTCCTGGTATAGATTGATGCCTGCAGTACTACAGAAGCACTAGATTTCACAAGCTATAGTCCTTGTGTTTTATAAAGGGAGTATCCTCTAGATGAATATATAAATATCTGTGTTTACGGTTGAGATATATATAATATCTGAGGAAATAGAACAGAAGACAATGAAAACCCTACTAAAGCATTTATGAATTGTACAACTACTTACTATTCTTACGACAAATATTACTGTATGAGGGGATTTACTGTAAAATTGGGGTGCCAGACTGACCCACTTAAAGATTGGTCAAGATGTTACAAACAGCTCCTACGTAGAACATGCTGTAATCAATCACAGCATCCACCACTGTTCACTGGTCACTTTTCACTGCGCAGGTGCTGCTACAACTAGAGCAGATTTGAGAGCCTTATGTGTAATGAATTTCTGCAGTTAGTTTAAAACGATTGTTTAACACACGAAACGAAAAACCTTTTTGAGCAGGGTGTTCATTTATGGTTCATATATGCTTGCCAGACCAGACCAACAACAAAGAGTTTTTCTGGAATCTACCACAGGCTCTGATGTACAGTACAGTGGTTAAACATGCATCAAATTCAATGTATAGATGGAATATAAAGAAAGTTTCGGCTGAAGGGCAAGAACTTACAATAAAACCTTCCTGTTATCTATTGCTGACTGTAAACTCTCTGCCTTTCGTACTTTTTAGAACAGCTTTTATTATTCAGCTGCTGTTATTCAATACACATTTTTATTTAATAAATAATACTTTCAATATTAATAGTGTTAAATAAAGGTTTTTGCTATTGTAAAATGACATATGCTATTGTAATGGTGATTTCAGTTCAGGCAATTATATGAAATGAAAAGAAATGAGGACATAGCTTTACTTTAAACAAGACTCAGTCAACGCTGTCATGAGAAAAATATGTGAAAACCATTTACCTTTTTTTAAAGTGGCATTTTCAAATAAGTAACTTGTCTTCTGCTCAGCTGTAAAAATGTCAACATGGAGAATTGGTGGCAGAAAAAAGTAGCTCCTCATGCAAAAGAGTGTTAAAAGACCTCATGTAAAACTGTTAAGTGTTTTTCACAGGGTCACAGAAGCATTTTCAGCATTTGCTTAGCATGTTAGCAGTGTAATTTTGTGATGCATGACTTGAAATATGTTTGTAAAAGCTCTTGTTGCTTCTGCTTTATGTGCATGAGAAAAACACATTCTCCTATGCACTGTTTCATGGTACTTAGCAGTCATGAGTGTCTTCTTTTCATTGGAAGAAACATGGAATGCGGTAAAATGTGAGTGGGTTTACTTGCAGAAGGAAGGCAGTGAGCCAGAGTTGATTGTGCAAGCAAAGTGCAGCTATTGTGTGTGGAGAATCCCCTGAATGACCCTCATTTCATCTGTGAGATGTGGAGCAGGGTCTCTCTGTGGCGTAACAGTATTTGCATTACACAGAATTACAATAAAGCATCATGATGGCTCAGTGGTTAGTCCTGTCGGTTTCCATCGGGTGCTCTGGTTTCCCTAACAGTCCAAATAGAGATTTTGGAAGATTTGGTGAAGTCTATAAACAAAAAATGGCCATAGAATATAAGTGTGTGTAAATGAGAGAGTGCATGGGTGTTTTCCATGAAGTGCTGGTTTGCTGCTGGAAGGGCATCTGCCACATAAAACTTATGCTAAAGTAATTGGTGGATGATAAATTAGTTGACTAAGCTGAAGAATTGTGAGTAAGTGGGAATGTTAACCTAACAAAACATCTACTTGTGTTTAGATTGCAGGCAATCAAAAATATCAAACAGTGAACTTGGCTCATAAAGTTAAATAAGGTTAAGGGAAGGAATTATGTAAGATTTCTGGCATTTCACAGAATGATGTGACTTTTGTGGCATAAATTACCACAATTTAAGTCTTTTTATACACAAATATAAAAAAGGAAAGAAAAGTACAAAAGTATCCTGTTCATTTCTGGAATTTAGAAAAATAAAATGAGATGTAAAACATTATTTTACCTAGATTTAGAATTTTCACATGTAACTTTTTAAAAATGTAACTTAATGAAAACACCAAAATTGGGTCACGTTGTCTTTGACCCAAAACCATGATAAAATGTTGAAAGGTAACTGTTAAACATTATGTAAAAGTTATATTTAAGATTTTGTTGCGATAGATGATTAGGTGTTTTACAGTATTATAAAGCTGGTACAGGATGTTAAAATGATGCATGAGAAACTGCTGGCCTTTAAATAAATTTACATGGCAAAATATGGTATTTCACTCTATTTTAGGTATAATTATAGTCCTAAAAATAATCATTGCGCAAACAAAAGTCAAAACAGCATTATTAAGTTAAACAGTTTCAGCTCGGATTAAGTAGATATAAAAGGAAAGTTATAAAATAAAAGAAAATATCTATGAAAAGCAATTATTTTGGTATCCTATAAACAAAAATGGCTTTTTTTCTACTGTTTGTCTTCATCAGTAAACCACATGTGTTCATTTCATTATGGCTTACTTTCAATTCAATTCAGTTTTTTCAAATTTTCACTCATTGCAATAGTGCGTTGTGAGTGGTTGCAAGATAGTCTCACTTTCATAAATTCCTGTTATGGCCTGTTTTCTCTATAGAAAGGAAACAAGCCTGAATGGCTTGTAGTTATTTTTGTCTTATGACGCTTTTAAGGCTATATAAATACAGACTGAGCGGTGAATCCCCAGTGGGAAACCAATCATGTGAATTAAATCAAACAAGTTATGCAAAATACAATCAGCATGCATGAATTTTAAGCGGGGAGGTATTCAAGTAGATAAAACAGCAGCACAAAAACATCTCAAACACAGACCAAAAAAAAAAAAAACTGCTGAAAACTACCTGAAAAAGATACCAGTCTCTGCGATATTTAATTTATGGCATTATTAAGGGATCATCAGTTTCTTTTGGTCGGCTATGAAATGATGGAGTGTGTAATTATATTTAGTCCCACTAGGATATGAAGCATAGCCAAGGGAAAGATGAAATTAATTAGAACTCTCATCCACAAAGTTAAGACCATTAATGATTAGCACTGTCATTTCAATAATAACCCACGCAGAGATCATTTATGTTATTGTTTATATTACAACTGGCTAATAGACAGTGATGCTTGAGTACATTGAAATACACCAAACAGTCTAATTTACCAGACAGAGTCAATTAATTTTATAGAAAATTTCATTTCACATGTCACTGTAGATTAGACAGAAAAGCACAAGGCCAGGAATCTAATTTGAGCCATTAAAAGTACAGTTTGGATTTTACATCATTGTAGTGTACACACCTGTTTTATTGTTGTTATTATTATGGGGTATTACAGTTTGCTACATTCTACAGCAGTAAAGTGTGGCAAAGCAACACCAGATATTTCATCTATAGCTCTGCTAATCTTATATTTCAGTAAAATTAATAATTACACCTTTCAAAAATCAAGGAAGAAAATTAGATATACAGCATGAATTTATAATCATAAACTGTCTTGTGGGAGTTACCACCTGTTGACCTTTTTGTTGTAGCATAAGTGCATGTAATATGTATTCATTATATTCTGACTGCAGATCAACATGAAGTTTGTGACTAGTCTAATGATTCTAGTGGCCCCCTAATGAGGCTATTTTGTGAACCCCAGACCCGAGACCATGATTTCCACTATAGTTACAGCCTACACTTTGCTATGCTATGTTAATAACATATTTTACAAGTTATAAAATATATCTGGTTCATTATCCTTGATCAGTCTATTTGTGGTTTTGTATCTGTGTCAATAATTGTGCTATAGTAATTGAAGTTCAACTGATTTGCATTTTCAATTAATTGTTGTTTGTAGGAAAAGATGTTAGAAATATGCATGGAAAACCGAAAAAATGTCAGTGATTACTTAAGTGGTGTCATTTTGAAAAGTGAGATCAAGCACATGCTGAGAAGTCTTCTAAATACAAACCCTAGACTACAAAATAAACAGATAAACCAACAATACTACTTTCACTTATGCCAATAAATCATTGCTACATCAAGTAAAGATCATGTTCCAAGAAGACATTATATATTTATATAATAATAATAATAATAATGCTAATAATATTAATAATAATATGTTGATGATAATTCTATTATTATTGTTGTTTTTGTTGTATTTGTTTTTGTTGTTGTTGTTATTATTATTAAATACGAAAAGTAATTAACTTTCCCAATATTTAGATCACAGTGAAACAATAACTAACATTTACATTTTTTAAACAATTATTTCCCAGCTACTTTACTGCATAAAATATTTCGTTAACTTATGCTTTCATTATCAATAGCCATTTTAGAATGTTCAATAACTTCTGACCTCTAAAAACATATACAAAAAACGTAAAGCTTTACCCAGCATTACACAATTTCAGTGTGCCGTTTAGAAAAGCATGATAATGTAATCAACTCCTATACATCAAAACGACGATTACGTTATCTTTTTAGTCTCATACATAGTTCGCCAAAAATCACACCCTAAACAAAAATATAAAAATGGTTGACTGTACCTGTATTCAGAGTTCCTGTGATTAGTCGAGCAATATGCTGAGTGAACTTGATCAACTGACGCTTGCATCGTCGCCGTCGGCTGCTCATTTCCAGAGGATGGAAGCAAAAACAAGTTTTTTATCTGGTGTCAGGTTGAATTCCGCTGGTTTTTATGTGGATGGAGAATGACGCTGGAAGGTGAGTATGCGTGTCGGCTTTACTAACACCTGAGAGCGAATCCGTTTCCATCTCTCTCTCTCTCTCTCTCTCTCTCTCTCTCTCTCTCTCTCTCTCTCTCTCTCTCTCTCTCTCTCTCTGGTCAGTTCTTTGCCTTGACATTTTTTACTGTATTATGTATTAAAAATTGTGTATATTTCCATTATTAAAATAAAAAATACACGATAAAATAAACAACAAACTGATAATTGATTATTTATTCAAAAAGCTTTTACTGCGAAACTGAGCTCTATCCTTCTAAACTGTAGGTCTAAAACAGCTCAGCTCTTACATCCCTTAGGTGCATATGGCCTCATTCTGAATTATTGTGAACTGCTGACTATGGTCCTATGAAATCCAAGGACTGATGGAACTGTATTCTAAATCGACATTCATTGCATTTAATGTTTATATAAATTAAATGCAATCCAAAGCTTTAAAATAGCTGAAAGCATGCCATAGATGTTCAGGAATGACATGCAAAGAACAGTTATGTTATCACTGACAGTAATGTTATCACTCATTGCCAATAGTTAAGCCTTCAAAAAAGGAGTTATCTTTCTTTTTATATTTCCAAATTTTATAATTAAATGATTGATTGATTGATTGATTGATTGATTGATTGATTGATTGATTGATTGGAATAAATTGCATATTAAATTATTGCATATTCAAATCAAAGATATGTGTTGAAGCTGTAGTTTATTAGAATACATAACTGTGTAAAATATAAAATAGGCCTAAAATCAAAAGTGATGGTGCTTTCACTGTCTATGTTTTCTCATGTGATCAGGGCTGGAAATAGAGAACTAACATTATGTCGGAGAGCAATGATCTGATTTACCCTTACATAATTATGGTAATGAAAATAACTTCTGTCTTTTATTAGGCAAATATAAAATATTGTGGTTACTAAATTGTTGTAAATGCACCTGTCGTTTTTTAATGTAACCGCATTATCCAAAGTAAATCATATAATAAAGACAACAAATGACAAGATCTCTTTTTTTACTCTGCATTTTTATTCTGAATTTAATTATAGGCCTGTAGGAGGCAGTCTGAGTTTTACAACTCTCTCTGGCAGTAATATGCTGGTTTTAAAATCAGTAGAAAAGAAGTTATAGCTTATTAAAATTATTGGCCCTTTAAAGGTACCATATAAGTTTTTTCTGTTGTACACAAAATAAAATATTTGTAAAAAAGATGAAAAACAGTGGCCATTGACTTTTTAGAAAAACAAATAGAAGGCTATGGAGATCAGCAGTTACAGGTTTTCATTTTATTTAATTTATTTTTAAATGTCAACTTTTACACTGGAACAGATGAAAAAATCTCAAACTGGAACAATTGAAGGGAGAGTAAACAATGACCATTTTTTAATTAATGTTTGGGGTTTACAACTTAACTGAATGGCATCCCAAGATGAATCACATACAACCAAACAGCTAATCCAGTGTGCATCATAATGTCATGTATTATTTCCAACACAATCTCACGGCAATTCGTAACTTTTTCATTTAGTGGCTAATTCGTATGAATTCGTACGATCTAATTCGTACAATTTAGTACGATTTGCTTATCCCCCAATGACGGTTGGGGTTAGGGGTGGGGTCAGGTGCCACGCCTCTTTTTAAAAATCGTACCATTTCCTACGACTGAACTCGTACGAACTAAACTGGCAAAACGTAAAATACTCACGTTTTCTCGTGAGATCAGGCTGATAATTTCATATTCATGTAGTTAGTTATTTTAGGCCACAATTTGATGTAAGTAAAATGAAAACAGTGGGGGAAAAATGCATTTAAAACAAAGTAATCTTTTATTGTGATAAATTCTTCCAAAATCAAAGAACAATTTTCAAAAACAACTTTTACTTTTCCATACATGATGCATTATTGTGAACATAAAGAGCAGTGAAGAGTATATTACATTGTCAGTGTGAAGACGTACACCACTAGTAAAGAAGCCATCATATTCAGAAGACTAGAACTCAGGAAACTTGAAGATGATTCTTTAGATTCGTCTGGTTTGGACATGCTTCAGATAGGGAAAAAATAAATAAATAAATAAAGTTAGTCAATTTATTTTATACCTGCTTAGGGTTTCACAAATAAAGTAGTGATTCATAGCTGGGTACAAACTAACACTCGTCAGTTGGTTTAAAAATGACCACACATGCTAGCAGAACAAAACTTATAGAATAGAATATTTACTAATTGCCTTATCAACACTGGGATAATTGTGCTAAATTTCTGGCTTTTAATGTTTGTTTAAAATGAGACTAATCTATTATTTAATTTTTAGTCTGTTATATGACAGTTAAGACAGTCATTTAATGCCTCACTAACCAGCAGAAAACTAGTTGTACATTTCATTTGTGCAGTAAGGAAAATTTGTTGCTATGTGTTACATTCTGCCCCTTAAGCAGAATTATTAGAAGCATGTTATTATGACAATAGCTATATTACAAAAGTAATGATCTATTAGTTAATATTAGGCTATGTATTTACCAACATGTGCAAACAATAAAGAGTACATTTATTAAAGGATTTATTAACCTCTGTTAATGTTAAAGGAAAATAAAGTCTCTCTCCCACTTACCTGCTGACAAGGCTGCTGCAGTCAGACTTACTTTGAAACTCTGAATGTTTTAAGGTGATGTGTTTATAGTTATCGTTGCTATTGTGAACCGTTTCGATGTTTTCAACAGTGAAAACTTCAGTGGGAGATATTAGTAGATCCATTTCCTCGGAGTTACACCCATTAGAATCAAGTTTGATGGCAGAACAGGAATTGATGCTGAAAACGGTGCCAAGGTCATCGCTCACTTCTGCATCTTCAGTTGCATCAGTGAATTTCAGCTTTGCTGGGAAAAAACTCTTAAATCGCACTTTCTTCCCGATTTCTGTCTTATATTCTTCTTCTGCACCAGAGTACACTGTTGTGCAATTGTTTTTTATGAGACTCATGGCATCTGTCAATAGGAAGAAAACAGATTTGAAAGCAAACTCGTCTTGGTAAGTTGAAACGCCTGTGCTTTTGCTATAAATCGTATTAAAATTTTTACGAAATTTACTATCTGCTACATAGCCCTGCAGTGCAGTCATGTGCTCTGATGTTGCTCCTGGAATAGGTTTTGTGCACGGACGACTGTTTTTCCACATAGATAGGAAACCTGTGCTGTTGTTAATCTCTGTCTGCAGTAAACCTCCGGGTTTTGTGACCATTTGTAGCATCTCTTTCCGACAATTGTAGAAAGAGTAATCAGGAGCTTCAGGAAACATGCCCATCTCTATCACCTTCCCAGTTATCTGCACCATTATCTGAAAGCATTGAGTAAATTACAAGCTTTTTTATAATTAGTGAAAACAATTATGCAGTTAAACAATTCAAAGTAGAGATATTAAATGCAGATCTTACAGTGCTCAAGAGCACCAGGAGATATGCAGGAAGCCTTTCCATTGTATTAGTTGGTTGTACAGCTATGTGCACAAGTCTGGGCAAAGACGGTAGCATGGACAACAAGTTAATACTTAAAAGTTGACTAATACATCCTTGTCAAAGTAATTTTAAAAATACTGTTTTTTTTTCTTTTTACCACAGAAAAGAACTCTTAAAAATAACTACATATAGAAATAGTATTAACTAACCACTTCAAATCATGATGTTAGCTGTTGTGCGTTTGATAAATTAACATTTATCAGTAACATCTATGTCTGTATTTGAATAGCATTTGGTCACTGCATTACCTTAAAAGAGAGAAAGAGAAACAAAAAAAAAGAACTGCACTCACCGTCTTAAGGTGCTTGGTAGAATGTCAGCTAAACGTGAATAAGGCAGAGCAGATCGGCATGAGTGCTCACAGATAGATTTAAAAAATAAAAAAAACAGGAAAGCCCTGCCTTTTCCTTCCTGCCCTCAGTCACTTCAATGATCAGGAATTAGAAGCACACAGCAAAATAATAATAGAAGAATTACATTGTTTAAAAGCTGGAATTAAAACAAAGGTAAAAAAAAATAAAACAATTAGGTGTTATGTTGTTAGGAATGGTGGATTTGAATAAAAAAAAAGTAAAAAAAAACATAGCAGCAAGTATTTCATAATTTGTAGTTTCACTTTTATCTAAAATAAGTCATGAATTGATAAAAATCTAAAATCCATACTTTATATTCTTTAACGTGTATTTCAGAAGGTCAAATGTTTATAGAAGAATCCGACTATTATCCAGAGTATTTGGTTTGGAAGTGAATTATTTTGTTGTAAAAATATATTTAGGTTGGCGATGGCTTAAATGGTTTTGTAATATATAGACTTTACGTGGAAATTCTTGTGAGTTTATTGAAATTTCCTTAATGTGCAGTAGCACATATCACAGTTCCTGCATTTATCACAGTCTACCACAAACTGTCTGCTACATAAACATACTCTTGCTTTTAACCTCTTCTGTTCTGCAGCTTTTTTTTTCTTGTATAATTTTCTACCCAAGGGCGTCATGGTGGCTAAGTGGGTAGCAGAATCGCCTCATAGCAAGAAGGTTGCTGGTTCGAACCCTGGCTGGGTCACTTGGCATTTCTGTGTAGAGTATGCATATTCTCCATGCGTCCAGGTGGATTTCCTCCGGGTGCTCCGGTTTCCCACACAGTCCAAAGACATGCGCAATAGGTAAACTGGATAAGCTAAATAGGCCGTAGTGTATGTGTGCGGGTGCGGGAGTGTATGGGTGTTTCCCAGTTTTGGGTCGTGGCTGGAAGGGCATCCACTATATAAAACATATGCTGGATAAGTTAGAGGTTCATTTCACTGTGGCGACCCCTCATTATTAAAGGGACTAAGTCAAAAAGAAAATGAATGAACGAATGAATGAATTTTTTACCCAATTTTAAAGTATCACTGATCTTTTTAATGAAGTTTATTATATTATAATATTTTATTAAAGTATCAAAATCTCATTGTCGTTTAACAGAAAACTTTTTGAAATTACACTATATAAAAATGAGAGCAATATTCAGTATTTCTTGTTTTGTTTTTT